ACTTTCAATATCCCATCATCTACATCCTCTGTCCTAAAGAAGAGAGGGATCGACATGCTTCTGTGCATCACACAGTTCAAAACCCAGCCTCTCTGATGGTATGGGGGTGCRTTAGTGTCTCTGACATGGGAAGCTTGCATCAGGCAAGATCCCATCAGAAAAGTACAAATATCTAATAATCCCATTAGAAAGGAACAGAACAAAATCCCCTCCAGAACTGGTCTGCTCAGGTCCCGGACCTTCACAGACTGGTGTTAGGAGAGAGGATGTTTCACAGACAAAAGAACCTTTTTTTTAGATGTGTGGCTGCCATTAAACTGAAAATGACACTTTTTCCATAAAAACTGTACAATTCCTACAGGCTTGACATGTTTACTCCTTTATGAATAAAATATTTTTTACATTCTGGTTTTATGTTTTAACACACTGCCCTGAGGTTACAAATAACCTCAGGTCTCATTAAAATTCTGCATCTTTTAGAGTAAAACATACATGGTTCTTTAACATAAAATGGTTTTATTTTTATAAGATTCAAATGGACTGAACTAAATGTGTGATTATTATGGGGGTCTGCAGCCTCACTTTTTTTTTCATTACAGGACTGTAACTTCATTTTTTTGACCTGAAACACAWATTTGTTTAGTTTTTCTCTTTTGAAAAGTGTCTACACACTCTGAATTAAATGCCAAACATATAAAAAGGCATTTAAAGTGATAAATTTATCACAAATGTATTCAGTGACCTGAAAATGTGTCTAAAATCTGATGTGACAAGTGCTGAAAGGACGATTGAGAATCTCAGAGATGATGGGGGTAAAAATCCAAAATAAAATAAAAATTAACCTGAATTTTCTTAAACAAGAAGTGATCTCTTTTAATTTGTTTAACGTTTCCGCTGCAGTGTATCATGACACTGTAAAAAATGAAATGTTGGATTTACTTAACCATGTTATGTTACCTGGTTCCACTTGACGTGGAACCAGGTATCATAACATGGTTAAGTAAATCCAACATTTCATTTTTAGAGTGCATGTGAGTTTTAACACATTTTTGCACCTTTTCTGTTAAATGTTGATGTTTAAAATCAAAGAAATACAAATAATTATATTACAAAAGAGCCTTGCAGGGTACTTTTTATAAGATTAGAGTTCATTATTTATAAAATATTCATTTATTCAGGTTTGGGTTGTTTTAAAACTAAAGTGGTTCCATTTGTTTGTTCAGATTAAAACCACTGGATTTTAATGAAACTTTCAGGAAATCAACTCTACCAACTAAACAACTTCAGCAAGTACAAAAAACAGCTAAAATTCAGCCGATTTTAAAGCTAAACTTTGGTCGTAAACAACATCCTCAAAACACAATTGAAACTTTGTCAAGTAACTYTGTTAGTGAAATATATTCTGCACTGGACTAATAATGAAACTCTCAGGAAATAATTATTGAATCCTTTATTTGGAGCCGAAACGATTCATAGTTAAAACTGAGGAAATGTCTGTTTCTACACAGGTCTATAAGGTACTTGGAAAAAATTACTAAGTTACAGTGAAATTACATGAACAGAAAATGACTTTGAAAAAAATAAATTTCACTGAGAAAACTGCGCAAGTAAAAGTCATAAAAATTGGGAAATGAAAAGTACTTTTACACTTTAAGAAATAAACTGTTGATTTTACTGAACCAAACTGGTTCCACTAAACCAGGTTAAGTAAATTTAGCAATATATGTATTTTTATTTGCTCARTTTACTCAACTAGGCTCAGTGGAGCCATGTTGACATGACTTTGTTGAGTAAATTCAACACTTAATTTATTTATAGTGCAGAAGTATCTTTCATGAGTTCGAACATGTTTAATTTTGTAACGAGTAACTTGTTACATCTTGAAGACGTAAAAGTATCTTTTTTAGCTTTAAAATGTAATGAATTAAAAGTAAAAAATGATTAAAATTACAAATCCTCAAAACTACTTAAAGTAAATGTACTTTGGTACTTTAAACCTGTGCTTTTTGTGTTGGTATTTGATGTGGTTGAGAGTTCTCCTGACCTCACAGCCTGACATTAAACTGTGTCAACTCTAACATTTCTCACATGCTAATTAAAGTCATTTTAAGTAACAGTTTATGAATATTTAACAGATATTTTCTGTTTATTGAATCAGGAGTCAAACTGAATCAACACATGTCTGTAAGCCTGACAGAAATTACTACAAACTGTATTAATTAGATTCTAACTGATCGATGTTTTCCCATCAGAACCTTTTTGTTTAAATAAAAATCAGAGTTCATTTTTTATGTTTTGTTCAGATTAATGTCTGTTTGCAGCTCGTAGACGCGCTCTGAGCTGCTGGGGAGATGCTTTCCTGTCATCTGCCATCAGCAGGAAGTCCAGCTGATGTCTCTGTGTGCAGCAACAGATCCAGAACCCGACTGGGTCCAAACGAACACYGAGGTTCGGAACTTACCTGGTGCTCCACAGCGCGATGAAGCACAGCAGCACGGACACGGAGCGTGACTTCTGTCCTCTCATCGCTGAAGACTGGAGAGAGATAATAAAAAAAATAAAATAAAAATAAGGCGAGGTTTCAGACCCAGCTCCGGGAAACCAGAACCGAACTCCAGCAGAACCACAGTCCGGGTCTCCGCTGCCTGATCGGCGGCAGGTGAGCCCAGTTACCGACAGAGACCGAGCGGCTGAGTCTGCGCCTGTTGCCGGTGTTACTGCACGTCCATCCTGTGCGCTCTCCTCCTCCTCTCCCTCCTCCTCCTCCTCCTCCTCCTCCTCCTCCTTCAACAACGCGAGCTGCGGTTCGGTCCAGATGAACCCGGGAGCGTAAAGTGCGCAAAGAGCGGGTCTCCGCTGAGGCGCAGCGCAGCGCTGCGTAAAACCTGAGATCATCAGAGAG